AGATACATGATGGTTTGTTCTAGACACCTGTAAACTAAACATGGCAAATAAACAAGTGTTATTTGCTTCCCGTGTACAAGGCAGGAGTTTAACCCTCATGGACAAAAGCCAATTCAACCTTATACATGATGTGACAGAACATAACATACCCTGGGGCCTATTCTACAGACATTAAAAAGTAATGGCAAAACCTCACTTACTTTTGCACCAACCTAATACCAGGCTGTGTAAGTTAACCAGAAAGTACCAGAGAGCATGATGCAACCATGTATTAAAAAAAAAAAAAAAAGAAAGAAAGGAAGAAAAAAAGAAAAAAAATGCAAAAAGATGCACTTTCGCTTTGCAAGAAAGCATTGTTTTTGTTATTACTATTTGTTTGCTTTTAGTATAGCAAAAGGAATTTAAAAACCAACAAGTGATAGATCAGTAAGCCTGAACCACTTAGAGGAGGCTGCATACATATCGCAAGAATTAACAGATGGCCTCTGTTAGTCTCCTGAAACATGAAAGGGCTGGAGTAATGTTATAACATTCTCTGGGCAGCTAAATCACGAATGATCTGTTCCTGACGTGTGCAGGAGAAGGTGCTGAAGTCATTCATGTCAGGAAGTTTTTTCCACCACTAGGAAGGGTAACTCTACAGTTGCCTTTCGCCACTTTGCTCTTACACGGGCTTAAAATCCTGGGCAACATAGAAAGGTTTCCCCAGATGGACTAATGCCCTCTCTCTATCTTCCAAATAGTACGGATTCAGTACCATACATTAGCAGTGACAAGATTAGTAAATACTCTTGCTATATAAATGCTACAGTTGTGTGACCCCAGTTCATTTAGATTTGATTAATTTATAAGGGCCAATAGCAACCACCATAGCTACATGCTGGCTGATACTAAAACGAATATCTTACATTTTATTTTTAGAAAAGATGCTATAGGTTTGTCAAGACTAATTAACTATATAACATTATGAATTAGACATGTGTTTTGAGAAAATTTAACAATGACCAGAGGGTACTTTTATTTTTTATTTTTATTTTTTGGTCTTCCACTATATAGGAAACAAATTGCTTACACCTCTGAGAATAGTACCAACCACAAAACACTCTGAAGATTAATCAGTGACAGGACCTACCAAATCGATACTGCACGTTAATTGGTCTTCCATATAAACGAATTCCATTCAGCAATGCTATGGCATAAGACACCGATTCTGGGTGTTTAAAGCAGACAAATCCAAAAGACTTCGGCTTTCCTTCTCTGTCTTTGCATATAGTCACTTTGGTTAGTGGCCCCGCCTAAAAGAAACTTAAAAATTATTTTCTCATAAATCCAAAGATTTTTTTCATACTCAAATAATTCAACTTTAGACTAAAGAAATGTGTTAGCAATATCTTTATGTGGCTCTGCTGATAATGTATCTTTCTAATAATAAATATTACACTTCCTCACATTTTCTTTGTATTTTCTGGCTCACTGGGGAAACATGCATGGTGTTAAGAACAGGAAATTCTAGGTATTAGTTTCAAACTGTAAAAGAAATGGTAGACTATCCTTCTGTGAGGCTTAACAAACCAATTTAGAAAACACATAAATCTAAGATTAAAATACTACTTTGTCTCCATATATATTCACAGTGTTGAATTCAAAAATTAACTGAAATGAGAAATTCAATTTTGGTTGAGTTATCCTCAAAAAAGCTGGTAATGTTATATCATAGTTTAAATTTTCTGTCATGAAGATTACATATCTTTACAAGAATAAATAAATTTATTACGCATTTTGATTTGGAAACTCCATTTGGTAAATTTCCAAAGGAAAAATGTTTAAATATGTTTAAGACTTTTAAGTATATTGCATTATTTGTAAGTGTGAGAAATTAGAGAGACTCTAAATCTAACAACTGGAGATATTATTTCATGGTGTGTTATTAAAATGGAATAAAATATAAACTATAAATATTCAGATTATATTGACAGAAAAACCTATAATATGCAATGAAGATTTAAAAGCACAGAGCCAAATATCATAGAAAATTGTTAATTACAACTAACAAAAAATTACATCACAGCCATGATAATGACGGGAGGAGGCACTTACAAATACAAAAACTGATTTAATGCTCAATGATTCAGACTTTAATGACTGATTATTTTTCTCTGTAGAGTTGCATACATAAAAAAATTGCTTTTACTCTCAAGAAAAATATTAATGATCATATTTAAAATAATTCCGTGTGTTAAGATTTAGTCTTTTCCTTTCATTCTCTGTGCTCTCCCAGGGATTAGCTTCCCTTCCCATCTGGCTTTAAGGACCACCTCATCAACAAATCTACTTTTCCCGCTATGTCTCTTTCATGGAGACATCTCCTGGAGACATCTATGTTTTTGTACTTCAATCTCAACATATTTGAAACTGAATTCATTATATTTTCTCTAAATCTCAACTCTAGTATTAAAAGTGTAATGATAATAAATCTGATTTTCTCATTTCCAAGTATAATCAGAAATTTGAAAGAAAACAGTAAAAGGATAAATATATTGTAATATAAACAAAACCAATAAAATTGGTGATTTTTATACTGATATTAAATAGATGTAATCACTATGGGACAGAATATGCTTACGTGATTTGAATTTTGACATAAATTTAGATAATCCAAAGCATTTTTAAAGATAAAATTCAACATGAAGACTTATAGCAACAATCACATTATCTTATAGTATTTTTTAAACCACAATGAAATACATAGTGTGATAGTTGTCAAGTTTTGCTGGGTGTTGGAAGCCTAAAGTGGAAAAGAAATTCCACTTTGGCAATTCCTTTCAATATCTAGACAAAAATAAGAACTTATGCTTCTTACCTGATCTATTAAATAAAATTTACATTTTGCTTAGGTGGAAGAAGGAAATTATAAAAAATGAGAAGATAATATATAGTCTTGTGAATCCACACAACTGATATTGATCGAGTCCTGATTAACTAAAAATAATGGTTAATGGATAATGCAATCCCACCCTAGTCTTCCACTTTCCTTTTTTTTGAGGCTCAGAGTAAAAGAAGTCTTCTGGAGAAAAACAACTCTAAGTTTACTTTATATTTCTTTCGGTTTTTGGTGTTTTTTTTTTTTTTTTTGACTTAATATAGTAAGTTTTAAATGATACTGAATGAAAAAACTGACATGGATTAGAGCTGATAAAAAAGGAGACACATTTACAAAGATGAATTAAAAGGATGAACCTAAAAGTCTTAAAATCAATATTTTTCAAATAATAAAAAAAAATTTACATCCAGGAAAGGAAACTGTATTCCTGGAAAGAACCCTCTCTACCAAATTGTATCTATAATCAAAAGAGGGTTACTTTAGTTGTTTAGAGACAAAAGTAAGTGCTTTCACAACCAAATAACCCGTATGACCCATTCAATCCTGAAAATTTAGTTCTGCAAACGACTCCCTCGGAACCTTCCCTTATTCTGATAGGAGGAAGTAACTATTGATTTCTCTTGATGTTAGTCTTATCACTAATAACAGCAGTACCACTAGTAGTAGTAGCGGTAGCAAACAGTGAGTTATTATGGCTATCATAATGAGTATATGAATGATAAATGAATATATAATGAGTGATAAATGAATATATCACTCATAAATGAGTTAAAATGGCTATCAGCTGTAGCCATTTTACCATTAGGCCATCTATTCCGACAGCCACATTATACTGCAGATCCTATTACTCTCTTTTGACATATAAGGAAACTGAGGCACTGAGGAATTCATTGACAGGCTCAAAGTCACACTGCTGACCTCAGAACTCGCACTCGGAACCACTTTTCTATCTATGTCCCCTTCTCTTTTTATCTGTAATTTTAAGTTCTCCCTTTTAGGAAGATGAAAGGGTGTCTCTTCAATTTGTATTCCCAGCACCCTCCTTAGTATTTGGTAATTCCCGATCATTACACGGTTAGCGGAATGGCTGAATGACGGTATCTTTCTGGCAAGTGAGACCTAGCTGTATAGGACAATACGGTAAGTGAGCGTGTATACAGGACACAGCAGGCTTAATCCTAGAGGTACGAGGTCTCAAAGTTTCTGAAGGTCCTCTTGGCATGAATGAAAGGGCCTTGCCAGGGAACCAACTGATCACAGTCACGGTAAGTTGGCTGCAAATCATCTCAAATCTCACTTCTCATGCTGGAATAAAAATACTCTCCGCATAAAAGGACTTGAAGGAAGAAGCAAGGTGTAAAAGGAAACATTATAAAAGCGACCCCTCTCCTTTTGCGGGATGTCAGCGTGCTTACTACTTGACGAACAGTGACCAGGCGGTTTTCGGTTCTGCCTGAGCACACCCGAGGCCCAGGCAGCCTCTTGAAAGCCCTTAATCAGAAACCGGGGTTGAGGGAACCCCGTCCCTGCCCACCCCCAGGACTCTGCAGCGGGAATGGGGACGGCGGAACGCTCCATCACTTCACTCCGCAGCCGCTCACCTGGAGACAGGTGCGCCAAAGCGAAACCAAATTAAAACCCCTGCTCAGGATGGGGCGGAAGGGGGCCGGGCTCCGGGTGGTCCAGGTGCGCGCTATGCTTCCGGCCCAACGGGCTCCGCCCCTCCGCCGCCCCTTCCCGGAGGACGGTACCTGAAGGAACAGCTCGTACAGAATCTCTTCCCGAACTCGGGCCTCTAAATTCCCCACAAACACGGTCCTGTCGGCCTCCTCCTGAGCAGGGAACATCCTCCGGTCTCGGCCGTAGAATGAAGTAGGAGCTGAGACCCCGCCCCTTCTCCGGCTTTACGGCTCCGCCTGGGTGAGGGGGCGCGGCCGGCGCCGGGAGCGCGCGCCGGGGGCGAGACGAGGCCTCAGGGCCACGCCCCCAGCGGACGTGGGGAACCGCTCACCGCACGGCTCCCTCGCCTGCCGTAGGGCTGGGTGGTGGGAGAGTGGGTGAGAGTAAGAAAGATGAATGCAGAAAGGGCCTTACCCTTTAGCTCCTGGGGTGGCTTCCTTTTTTTCTGGCACATTAATTGATTTTGGATTTATTCAGTCAACATTTTAAATACAATGACTGTAGAGATTATTTAAATTGTAATAACTTCATTGCAGAAGCTCCCAGGCGAATGCAGGGAGATTCATTTCTTTGTGTCCGAAGAATAAAGGAACAAATCACGAAGATATTAAATTATAAATAATTTTTGAAAGAATCGATGTTTGCATGGATGTGGATACAACAGAAAACTAGAATTAAAGTTTATTTTCCTAGAAAGTGCTCCCTAGATGAGTTTTTGAAACTGGTCACAGAGGTTTTAAGCGGACTCCAAAAGGAACTTGAGAAAGCGAATACCAAGGGATATACTGGTGAGACTGAGCAAGTTTTGTGTCTAAGCCAGTTTTTGAGGATGGCAGCTGGGGCTGTGCTTTGTTTCAGGGCTATACTTTGTATATGGTGTACCAGGCTAGAGGCTTAGTTCTTTCTTGGGGATAATTTTGTTTTTAATAAAAGTCTTAAGAACAATAAAATTACAAGAAAGGAGAGAGAAACCTTAGAATCTCAGTACTTTGATAAATCAACTGCCAACTGTTAACTTGGTTTCCTTTCTGAAGCTACCATACGTCTACATAGGACCTTGAGATCATCCCATGAATATCATATAGGTAATCAAAACATTATTTGACCTTTAGTTTCGCATCGTGATAAAATTTCATTTTGAATTGAGGAAGCATGCTTTTATCTGGTCGATGGACCAACAAAAGTCATCTTTTCTAATGAAAAGGTACACATTTTAGGAAATCCTAATTTCTAATTGATCTCTGACATTACATAGTTTTATTACTTTGAACAAGTGATTTCTCTTTGGAATTCGGATTCTGTTTCTTAAGGAATGGATTGGACTAAATATAGTTACTTCATTTAATAGGTATTTTCTGAATGTTTAATTCATGGAAAACAAAGGTAAATATAAAAATCTGACCTCCTAAAGCTTATATTGTGGGAAAGACAGCCTTTCTACCCTCACAAATATAATATAAATGCTAGTGACTTCAGTAGTTACCTTCAACTGATATAAGTCCTGTCTCCATTTTTTTTTCCTTTTTCTTTGCTTATCATCAGTATAGTTGTGGTACAGTAAGGAGGAGTTAAGGAAACACTCATACTGTAGGCAAATAAATATATGCTGATCAAATAAATGGATACTTGCAAGTCTCTGTTATGTGTAGACCTCTCGATTTATTAGTATTCATTTGCTTCATAAATCTTATCAAACCAACAGATTTCTTCCTTAAATTCACCTCAGACATTTCTTATATGGGAGCTGTATCTTCAGGTTTCACTTTAAACCACTGCATGTATATGAGTGTGTATGCTACAAACCTTTAACTACACTTCTAATTAATGTTCATATTATATTGTTCTATTGAAATTTGCATCCTTATTTGTCTACAAATGTGCATAATTTTGGTGTTCTAATATCCTCCTCTAGCTGTACATAAGTTTATAGTGCTTATAATTCTAGAGTACTTAGTTAATATTATGAACTCTGAAAGTCAGCTCCTGTAGTTAGCAATTTTTTCAGAATATGATCTCAATATATCATTTTTCTAATGTAAGCATACTGTGTTTCTTAACTCATATTGAATGCATGCATGGTAATAAATCTAGTAGTAGGTTAAAAATAATTCACTTCACTTTCAGTATTTACTGGACCATTAGTCATATATCAGGTTTTAATGGGTTAAATACATGTAACACTCTATAAAGAGCTAGCCTTTCTTCATTTATATCAGGATGTCTGATGTCCCTAACTGAATGAACATATAATAAATGAAAATATATGTATATGTACATGTATACCTCTGTATGTCTATATATGTATAATTAGAGCTTCTTTATCTTCTTTTGCCCAGCCAACTCTTTTTTTTTTTTTCTTTTATTTTGAGATGGAGTTTTGCTCTTATCGCTCAGGCTGGAGTGCAATGCTGCAATCTCAGCTCACTGCAACCTCTGCCTCCCAGGTTCAAGTGATTCTCCTGCCTCAGCCTCCAAGTAGCTGTAATTACAGACAGGTGTGTGCCACCATGTCCGGCTAATTTTTGTATTTTTAGTGGAGACAGGGTTTCACCATGTTGGCCAGACTGGTCTCAAACTCCTGACCTCAGGTTATCTACCTGCCTTGGCCTCCCAAAGTGCTGGGATTACAGGCGTGAGCCACCGTGCCCGGCCTTGCCCAATCAACTCTTACTCTCTCTTGTAGTTAAGCCCAGGCAACATGTCCTGCAATGCTTCTCTGAACTCTGCCTTCCAAATTAGCTGGCCACTCCACTTGTGTGGTTCCATAGTTCCCTAGGTACACTTCTGTCATGTCCTTCTCACCAGGAGCTAGTATAAATATTTCTCAGTACCTAGGACAATCTCTGATACACCTGTGGGTGTATAATAAATAGCTGTTGAAATAATTAAGATTAAATAAATGAACGTCTTTACTTTGTATCCCCAACAACAAAGTCTGTGCCTGGAAATCAATAGGTACTTAATAAAAGCATAAATGAATGAACAACTGAAATGGAAGGGAGGGAGGGAGGGAGGGAGGGAGGGAAGGAAGGAAGTTGGCCAATTACTATTAAGGGATTTTATTGGATGCTTTTTTAAATTGAACTCACTTTTGTCTTCACTTTTTTAAACCCTTATTTTGTCTTTATTCTGATTTTTTCCTAACCATCTTTTTGTCAAGTAAATACAGTTTTTAAATTGTTTTACATGTATTAGATGTTTATTGTAAATAAATATTTTTAAAATTTAAGGAAATAAAGTAAAAATACTGACAGATTTATCATGCAGAGATAACTATTTCAGAGGAAAACCTTCCAGACTTTGAAATATATATCACACTTTAGGAAAATAAACCACGCTATATAATACTGTTTTTCAGCTTGCCCTCTGCCCTCTAAAACTGTAAAGAGGCCTTTTACACCAATAAATACTGATCTATCTGTATCATTAGTTTTAATCCATAGTAGATACCTAATTAGACTAATCTCTCATTGTTAGATTTTATATTGCTTTCATTTTTTGACTGTTATTGGAATGGTGAGATGAACGTCTTTGCTCATATATTTGTGCACATGTGGGCCATTTGCCACATATAAGGACCTTGGATGTGTCTGTAGGAAAGTGTCTTGGATTTCTGTAGGAAGTATCTTTGATGCTTAATTGCTAAATCAAAGGGTAAGACTGTTAAACATTTCGACACACTGACAAATTAATAAAAGGTTGTGAGAAAATATATTGTGATAAACGGTGATTTTCCATCTCAATAAACACTAATTAACTTACTTGTAAAGTGCTTGAAGAACGCCTGGTGCATAGGACTCAATAAATTTTAAATCTTCATCGTCATCATCTCATCATCATCATGAACATCCCCTTTGAGTTAATGTTTATTGTGAGTATGTATGTAAGCTACTTACAGTCATTTTTTATATCCAAGGAGGACTAAACAAGTGCTTAAATAGATTATGTCTTACTAAACTATTGGAATTTTGTAACTTTGTCATCCCCCAATATTTTCCTGTTTAAGGCAATAAACGTTAATAACCTCATCTTTCTCATATTAGCAGTATGTAAAATACATGATAATGAAGAAGCATAATTTTAAATTTTGAAACCCTGTATTATACTGCCTGATATGCCAGTATTTTTCAGTATGAACTCTTTAGAATTGTAAAGATGAAAGTAAATGTGCAAGACTCATAATGCTGCGTCGAAAGCACAAAGAAAAAAGGAAATTATAAGTGACGGAGGAAAGATTTGTATTTTAATTTATTAAGTAAAACTTGTTAGGAAAAATTTGTTTTAGGAGGTACGACACATTATCTTTCTTCCCATATTCTGAAATGATGTGGCTTATTTACACCTTTGTTAGAGAGGTGCAACTCTTACAGCTAAGTGCTGTGGAAGGACCTAGATTAGTTTTGGTCTCCAAACAAATTGTAGTGGTGGTATTGTTTTAAAAATGGAAATCTCGTGTAAAACACCCAGAGATCAAACGGTTCAAAATAATGATGGAATTTCCTCAGCAGTTAAATTTTCGTGATTTTTTTGTAAACTAATACCTCATTTTGTTTGTGAATTTTCTCAAATACTTCCCCAGACCTCAGATTAGTTTATGCAGATTTATGACATATCAAAAACACTTCTGTTCTTACTGTGCTTTTGGAGCTTTAGAGAAACTTGAATTTTTGAAAAATGAATTTAATTTTTAAACTTGTAATTTACGTACTTAGAACAACTCCCAATTTTTCTTGCTTACTAAAAGTCCACTGCTGGTAAGAAAAGATAATTATGTAAACATGTAAAAAGAAAATGCACACTAATTTTAAAATGGTCATCATATTAAAGACTTTTTTTAATATAATTTTCACCTTTTAGCCTCAAGTGATGAGCCAAAATTTTGAATTTTAAAATAGCCTCTGCTTTGGGGATGTAAAATAACATAAATATGAAAAGCTCATATTTTATACTTGACAGAGCTTGGTGGATATGGATTTCATTACTGATTTATGGTATATAAAGATATCTTAGTTTGTAATCAAAGTGAATATAAACCACAACTTTTTCTGACTCTTTCCATTTCTAGCATTTTCTAACATCACATTTGCATATTTTTCCTGACCGCTTCTGAAATCCTGAGGTTAAAAGGATACAGAAAGATGTAATTAGATTTATCATTCCCTTAAATTCAACTTGTGTAGCTGAAGGTTTGTTTGTGACTTATTACAGAGCCTGTGACTTAAAAATCCTTCCCACAACCACAAGCTAAAATGGGAGAAAACAAACTACCTCACCTTTTCAACCAAGAGGGAGGAGCAAAAATCAGTGAACTTTTACAGTAGAACCTGCCAGCCTGTGACGATCCTACCAAAAAGAAACCTCAGTGAGTTACGGAATTTCCTTTTTGGTGAATTGAGTGCTGCTTTTGCTTTTCTCAGATTCCAAATGAGAGTATACATTTTTCTTTGTTTGATGTGCTGGGTAAAGTCTGGTAAGATATTAATAATTTGATTTATCTTTAAAAATTGCATATAAAATAGTGTGGTCTATATTCTGGGATAAAGAATGTTATGATATAATGGGATAAAAATATGCTATGATTATTGGTACTAATTATAACAAACATTACTATCAAGAAAACTTCTGTGTGTGTGTGCACGTGTTTGTTTAATAAGTTGACATTTTGCATTTTATTTACTTGCCAGATAATTAGTAACTAGAAAACCTTTTTTTTAAAAAAAAGATGTAACTAGAGACTAAATAGAAATACTCAAGAGAAAAAAAATTCAGTAATGGAGAAATTAATTCGGTATTTAAAATTGTGCCTTAAATATCTTGTTTCAATTTTATTTGTTTCACTAGCTCTACTTTTGAAGAAAATTGTTACTTGAATAAATTATTGATTGCAAAACAAAATAAACATATACTACAACTTTTGCTCTCATTCAGTATGACAAAAAACAAAGCTGTTTTATGGTAATAAGGTAGAACTTTATTCTGGTTTATTGGTGTAATAAAGTTTATCAATATTAAGACTCATTTTCTACTTTATGATAAAATAGAATTACTTGTTCAACTTGATAATTTGTTCTGCTTTATGGTAATAACAGTGACAAATTTAAAATTGAAGATGAATAGTTTTCCATAGGGGTTTTATGAGAGCAGATTATTTCCTTTATGTTTTAAATTTATTTGAAATTTGTTAATGCATACTTGAATAACTTTAAAAATTAACTAGAAATTAACGTTATTTCTTATGTTTTTAATTGGCTATTTGAGATAACCATAAATTCTGGAAATATTTGAATTTTATATTTAAATATAGAATCTAAATAATACTGATATGCAGTTTATAATTTATATTATTACTCTGAAGTTTCTTGATAGGGATTTTATGTTATTATAATGTATAATAGTGGCATCTTAAGTTGAAAGCCAGAGAAATTTGAAGTCTAGGCCCCTAATCTTATGTGTCATTTTTAATACAGTTATAAACATTTTAATATCATAGTTTACATTAAAAACTTATTTGGCAGACTTTCTGATATTATTGTTCTGATTAGTATTTAGTCAGTTGCCTACATTTTCAGTTGGGAAAATTCAAACATAATTGCTTTGTATGTTTCTGTCTGCTAATTCTTGTATAATGATGATTAAAATACAATAGTAGAACTTTTAGATATTAACAGTAGTAAATAGAAAATAAGTGATTTAAAAAGTTTACTGATCCTCAAATTCATTTTTACCCCATGTAGACTCTATGCTTTCTCTCATTTTCCTTGAATCTCTACTTCATTAAAAAATTTTGTTGATTTTCAGTAGTTTATTTCATACAAGTGTGTTTTATTTATTACACATGCTCCTTTCTTCTCCACTAGAGATTCTGATATATACCTCCAGGAGGGCATGTTTCATGTTTCTCAACATGAAAATCATTGATTACATCTGCCTTTAATAAAGAAATGACATTCCAAAAAGCAAATTAGTCAGGTGTTTTTAAAAATTGTAAGTAGAATAAAATGGGAGGGAGAGATAGGTCAAAAAACTTTATATAAATATACAGTACATCTGTGTATCTACATATTCAAATTATAGGCATATATGCATATTCTTAGTACAGTTGCCAACTTATTGTAACTATTTACATTGAAATTTTTGTTGTTGCTATTATTATATTGCAAGGGTCAGAAATTCTTTTATCTTTGGACAGGGTCTCATTCTGTCACCCAGACTGGAGTATAGTGTGAAGGTCATGGCTCACTACAGCCTCGACCTCCTAGTTTCAAGCAATCCTCTGGCTTCAGCCTCCAGGGTAGCTAGGGCTACAGGCACACACCACCACGCCTGCTAATTTTGTAATTTTTGGAGAGACAGCATTTCACTATATTACCCAGGCTGGTCTCCAACTCTTGGTCTCAAGTGATCTGCCCGTCTCAGCCTCCCAAAGTGCTGGGATTATAGGCGTGAGCCACTGAGCTGGCCAGGAAATATTTTTGTAAATGACCAGATAGTAAATATTTTAGGTTTTGTGGGCCATACAGTCTCTTTTGCATCTACTCAGCTTTGTCACCAAAGCAAGAAAGCAGCAGTAGATAATGATAAACAAGTAAATGTGCATGTGTGCTAATACAACTTTATTTATGGACACTCACATTTGAATTTGTTGTAACTTTCATGTCACCAAATATTATAATTTTGATTTTCTCCCAGCCATTTAAACATGTAAAACACATTCTTAGCTTGTCAACCAGACCTGACCACAGGACATAGTTTCCCACTCCTGTGTGCTTTGAAAGAGATGTTAAAGACAGATTAATTCAGGTTTCTCATTTCACAGTCGAGGAAAGTGAAATGCAGAATAAAATGGAGTTATTTTTGTAAAGTCACACAACTTGGAGTATGTGGTAAAAATGCAAATTCTTATCCATAGGCTGGAGGTGAAGCCCAAGATTAGCAATTCTACTAAGCTCTCAGGTGATGCCCATGGGTATGCAGACCACCTTCTATAAGGAAGTTATAGAACCTTAGAAGCCTGTTTGTAGGGCAGTAATCTTTCTAGAACCCATGGGATCCTGAGCTGACTGCCTCAACAAAATCATTATTTTTCTCTAAATTGTGTCGGTATTTTTCTGGTATGATCTGTGATTAATTTTTCTTGACTTACTAAAATCAGATGCCCTCAAGGAATTTTAATTTATTGTACCACAATCTCTTTAAACAAGGATCATGTGAAAGAACATGAAATTTGGAACTAAAAGACCCAGTTTCATGTCCTGGTGGCATGTTATCTTGTGCCAAGTCACTTAACCTCTATGAACCTGTTTCCTCATTTCTAAATGCACTTAATACCTGTAATACTATCTCACTCTATCGTGAAACTCGAAGAAGGTAATATGAATGTTGATTTGGTCACGTAGAAAGCAATATAAATTAGGTTAGAATAATCCACTGTGTTTTCTTCCGTGTTCATTTTCTCTTTAATTCTTTTAGATAATTTCCAGATATAAGACTTCTCCCTGTGTGGTTCATGAACTACCATATGAGAATTCTCTGGGTTACCCACTTAAAGAGCGCCAATATATCTACCAAATCAGAATTTCTGGGGATGGCCCCAGGAAATTACATTCTGAAAATTCTGCTGTTCCCAGTCATTTTTTTTTTTACATCCGTTTTTAAAATCATTCTTGAGAATTCCTGGTATAAAGACTTGTTAGACACCCTACTTTATTTTGCTTGTGTAGTCCGATTCATTTTCAACAGCTTTCCTAACATTTGCATAAATGAGTTGCTGACTGAATATCTTGTTTTTTCATTAAAAATTAATCAACATAGTTGTGCCTATTATTTCTAGAGTACATAGTAATATTTTGATAGATATAATGCATAGAGATCATATCCAAGTAATTAGTGTATTGATATCTCACACAGTTATTTCTTTGTGCTGGGAGCACTCAGTATCCTCCTAGCTGTTTGAAACTATATATAATTGTTAACTATAGTCATTCTACGTGATGTAGAACACTAGAACTTATTTCTCCTATCTAACTATAATTTTGCATTCTTTTTAAATGTGTGTTTTTGATTGGTTCATGACTACATAATTAATGATATATTTGCCTTTTGTTTTGCTTTCTGCCACTAGCGTTCAGGGATTTTAACGTTTTACCTACAGTGTTGTGTCTTAACTGGCTCTATGGCCATAGAAGCCACTGTCTTTGTAGCATCAAGTGGGTCAATTGTTTCGTGCTTGGAATTCTGCTGGCCCAAAAGGGTCTTCCTTCTTAGTACAGATGAATAAACAGAGAGCTAGTGAACTTCTGATAGGGTCTTATTTATGTTACTCAAATGTTTACATAATAACTTGTGCCAAAAATATAGTGCTCATGCTTTTCAGTTGTCACCCAGAAATGTCCTGTGGCTTCTAGTTGTGTGCCTGAGATCATTTAATCTCTTTTAACTTCACTTTCTTCATATATAAAATGAAGAAAAGAATAGGAAATATAAAACAACACTGGACTTGCCATGAAGTGATAGCTAAATATAAACTATTATCATATGGTTAATATTGTTGTTGTTCACAAATCCATGTTTTTCCAGAAATGAGGAAAGAGAAGGAAGGAGGTTTTCATGTAGGATTTTTGGGATGACAATGAGGGTTTAGATTATCAGAAAAAAAGGATTAAATCTTTCTAAGATGTATAGGGATTGTAGCTTTTTTTGACTAAGTTTTAAGACTCTCTGTTCTTGACTTGAGTCAGCAAAACTAGTGGTTTTTTGTTCATTTTGATTACAAACTAAATTGTCTTTATACACCATAAAATCAATAATGAAAACACTGAAAATTGCAAGACAAACTTGTCTCAGCAGCTTGCCCAGCATGAAAAAGCATTTGAAATCAAAGAATGTTGCAGCAACAGGAGATCATTTCTTTCAACTCCTTCCATTTAAACATGAGAAAACTGAGGCTCAGAGATGAGAGGTAAAATAACTTGCTCAGAGTCACAAGAGATGTTTGAGAGAGGCTAGAGGTACTTGAGTCAGCTGTTCACGTGCAGGGCACTATGCCTGCCTCTGGACTGTCTGTTTTAATCTCCTTGCTCTCAATTTCACAGGCATTGTAACTGTAATGGAAATATGTTTCAGAGAGAATGCTGGACAACCTACAATGACTATTTATAACTTCCCCAGGTGTCTTTGGTATTTTTAACATTTTTGCTGCTTCTATAATTTGAAACCTAACAAGATTTTCAGTATTACTTCTCAGCTTACCTCTCTGTTGAGGTTACTGCTAGAGTCATTATCTTCCTACATCTTTGGAAATAAAGTACTATATTATGTACCTGCTAGTGAATTTTGAATCACAATAGAGTTACTTAGTCTATTTCTCAGATCCTCAATTTGTTAATTTTTCAAACAGGTACAAAAATTAATACTAATCTTTCTGTTTTAGATATATTCAGTTTTTTGCTGATACCATTCATTTTGGCAATT